ACCTTTGCTGAGAGCTTTAGGTAATGGCCTTTTTTAGTGCTTTGAATGAATTAAGAAATATTACTGGGATTCTGCCTGGTTTTTAGGCTCCCCACTTGTTCTTTGCCTGAGGTGACTGAAAGTGCTCTGTGACTCTCTGGCTTGAAGCTGATGTGTTGTTACTTCTCATGCAGTGATTGTCTTTGCTTCTGCATCAACTGATGGTCCCAGACCACATGTCCCTGTAATTGCTGGGAGCTGGACGTTGCCTCTCTGTGTACTACTCAACAAGCACTTGCTTCAAACAGCAGAGCTGGACTGAACTTTATGGCATTTTCTTGTGATTTCTGTTTGTCTCAGTCTCCACATTTCTGAGGTTTCATTAGCTCTAGGTGTCCCTCCTTCAATAAGAACAGTATGTAGACTGCACAACTATTGCTCACTGGCTGCCTCACATTCTGTAGAGGGTAAAAAATGAGTTACTTGTTTAAAAGTGGTTGGACAGAGTGGGAAGCTGCACATATGTATGAGTTTGGTTAGGTGTGTTTTTCATGCCTTGGGGCTTCCTGTGCTATTGCCCTCCCCACCACTGTCTTCCTGACGTCTTTGCAATTCCTTCCATCTGTCTGTAATCCTCCTTTGCTGGCTCCTCCCTCACCTCACCATGGGTGCTCTGCCCCCAGCCCCTCCCTGTGAGGGGCTCGTGGCCACATCAGGATCTCCCACTTGGGCACAGTGCCTGTCTCGTGGCCACCTTGTTCTTTCCTCTTGGAGCAGTGACTTCCATGTTGCTGCTGCCAGGGAAGGTGAATGCATAGGTCCTGGAGTGTTACTGAGTGCTCTCAGCTGCTTGTTGGATCTTCAGGAAACTCTGAATGTGTTTGACATTGAGATGGATGGAAGAGCTGAAGCTTTTGATAATCGTGGTTTTTGCTTTTTCTCATTTTCCAAAATCTAATCACCAATATCTAATTTTTTGTTGTGACTTGATAGGTTCTTTTATTAACTGCTAGTAAACATAGAAGCTGATGTAAGACTGACTGTTTCTACAGAAGACTGGAGTACAGAATGTTTTTTCCCACTGCTTATACTCCAGACAGCACTGCCCTTTGGGGCTGAATTGTCTGATTTACACTTTCTCTATGTGCAGCAACATCTAGATTAGAATTTTTGGCTTTTCCCCTTGTTCCTGGTGGTTTCTCTAAATTTTGTACCTTTTTTTTTTTTACTGCAGTAAAAAAATCACTGAAATGATGAATATTGCAATGCATTAACTACGGACTTTGGGAGGGAAATCGCTGATCTTCTGCAAGGCAATTCTGTTGGAAGGGGAAGCAAGGGACTTCAAGAACTTCAATTAAACATGTACATCTTCTAAAAGATCCAAAGTAATTGAGAGCTGAGAACAGAGTGTTGGTTAATTGTATCTCTGGGTCAGACTCTGAGCCTTAGAAGTCTGATGCTGCAAAGCTTGTCTCTAGAGACAGGGCAAGATAAGCCAGGGCCTGTTTAGATCTCTGACAAGAGATATCCCACAGGAATTGCAGGAGCAGTATCTTTACACAGCTACTATTTTTTTGTCTTGTGGGGTTATACCTCTGCCTAAAAATACACGTTCTGTTAGAGGTGCAGTTGCTGTTCCCTCACTTCAGCTTTGATGGCTAAACGTTACATATGCACATCCTTTTAAAATGATGGATTCCTGCTATGCTGTGTCATCATCTGTTATTGTATCTCCAGAGTCACCATGGTGTTGGTTTGCCCTGCTCTGCTGGCCCTGTCATTACTGCTCCGTAGGAATGCTTTGGGGATGCTCCAGGGAGGTTGGGTGGGTGCTGTGGCACAGGGTTTGCACTCAAGGGCCCTGAGATAAGGCAGCACCTGGTGTGGGTGACCCACTCAAGTGCAGAGACTGCCAAAGTGGGATGACCTTCAATAGCCATTTTCCATGACAGTACTTCAGGTGAGTAGTTAATTTACAGAGACTCACCATTCATGAGAGTTTCTTATATTCTGAGCAGTCAAGGATTTTAAAAAGTAGATACTTTACAGTTGATGAGAAGAGTCATTTGTGGGAAATTATGTGTCATCTGCAAATGTCATGGCTTATAGCATCTTGCTTCTGAAATGCTCTAAAATTCTGATTTTATATACAGCCTTAATTACTGCCCATTAAAACCCCTCTGGTCCAGACCAAATAGCAGTGGAGATGCATGAAAGGGCTGACTCACTGAAAGGGCTTCAGGGATTGTGAAAGGCATCAGGTCACTTCAGTACATTAAGAATAACCAAGTCTAAAGATCAGTGTTACTTAAAATTAGAGATTGGATAAACTTCTGAGAATGTTAGAATATACTAAATGTTCACATGAACAATTGCAATCACTTTTCCTGCACTGGGGTTAGAATGAGAATAAAAAGGGAAGACACTTCTCAAAGCACAGCAGTCTTTGCTTTCTGCAGGAATAGTGTGTATTAATAGTGAACGTGAGCTAACTGCTGTCTGAAGGTGCATGGAGCAGGTTTGCTGTACTTACAATGCTTTAGGATCACAATGAGTGCAAACATCAACTTTTTATTACCATGCACTACCCAACATCAAGTGGTGATACTGTGCATGTCTGACATGTGGCTGTTAGCACTGTGGGTCACAGACAGACTCTGTTTGTCCCCTGCCACGCACTGGCTGTGCACAACTGCTGGTGTAGAGTTAAAAAAAGAAAGTGTCAAAAACCCAAGCAAACAGAAAATCCCAAACAAGTGTGTGTAGGGGGTGATTTCTGATAGGAAAGGAGAAAGAAAAAGAAAGGTTTTAAAAATCACGTGGAAGGACTTGGCCCTGCCTTCTACCTGGAAATACTTTTTTAACTCCAGATTTCTTTTAGAACTTGAAAAACTATTGCCCACAAAACAGCTATTGGAATTGGAAAATTTTATCCCTCATCTCATGAGGTTCCAAATACAAAAGCATTACCTTAGGGATATATCTGATCATCTTGAGCTAAAGCACACAAGCACATCATTCCTAATACCTTGGAGGATTGATGCTTAATTGAGGAGTTAGTGATGCCAGAAGAGGGCTTTCTGTGGGGCCATGTTAAGTGTCACCAAATACGGTTTCAGAATCTCAGACAGAAGCAGCATTGGAGTGCTAATTGCACTTGGGGTGTTTTCTAAGTGGCAGATGAGACTAGAGACACTCAGACTGATTGCTCTGTCATTTGGCCAGCCCCAGCATACTGCTGTGTTATCCTAGAGGGATTCCAGTAAATCCTCTGTGACCTCTGCTACTGATAGATGGTGGAACACTCCTCTGACCCTGGCGTTTCAGACTCATCTCTTCTGTTTATTGACACAAAAATCAATTTAAGCTATGTTTTTGTATGATAGGTGAATGGATGCAACTTCTTTCTATCTTCCTTTTGTAGTGTCCATGCAGTTTGCCTCATCTCTGCATTAAAAGCAGATGAAGTGACTGAAACTTCTAATGGCTTTTACAACGAGTCACAATTGTATATCTAGACTCCTTAGACAATTTTTACATTTTCTCACTAGTACATAGGATGAGAGTTTCTCTCTGGTTAATGAATTACACAGACCACTCTGAGCATAACAGAGTTCCTGTTAGAAGAGTTTTGCTAGCTTATGTCAAAGCTGTATCTTAACTTAGTGTGTCCATGCTGAAACCTTTGTGATCCCTTCTTAGTTCTCATCTTTAGGAAGTTCTTTCATCTCATATTTACATAGGCAACCTCTATATTAATTTTTTGGGGGGAGATGGAGTGGGACTAGACTGGCTCCTTTGCTTCTTCCCCAAATCAAAAATTCTCTTCATATACATTTGTGTGTGTGTGTATATATATGTGTGTGTATATATCCTTCTTTTTCCTTAAGTGTACAGGTATTCCTATAAAATGTGATTGACTTGCATGTTGCTCCTGCTGACAGGATGTGAGGGTGCTTAGTGGTGTCCTAGTCTCAAATGGCAGCAGCAGCAGCAAACCTTTTCTAGACACTTTGGACAAGTGAACAAAGTCATGGACTTAGCAATGAGTGCTGTTCTGTGGCTTCCCAGCCCTGGAGGGCTGGGTGTCACCTTTTAGAAGAGAGAATACAAACGTGTTAGGTGGGGTACATCTTATGAAATCATCCAGCTACCAAATCCAGAGATTGAATGAAATATCTAGCTTAATAAAATTAATAAATAAAGTGCTAAAGTGTCACTGATTGCAGTGTATCCGCTGGTAATGTTTAAAGAGACAACCTGGTGGTTGTTACTTAAAAATTTCACAGAAGTGAAAATCTGGTGGTGACAGGGGCAGCTCCTCTCTCTGCCCACTCACAGCCTTGTTTTCCCCTGGATCTGCTCGTGCAGCTGCGATTGCTGAGCCCAGTTCCATGTAAGAGCTGTAGTTTACAGCTGTGGCATCTCAGTGTGGGGTGACTCCCTGAGCATCCTGCCATGGGCAGCATGGAGTGGGAGGCACATGGAGAGCCTGGTGTTGAGGGCAGTGCTGGGGATGCTGCTGTCAGTGGACCTGGCAGCAAATTTCTCATACTAGCAGGGCCAACTTTACCTGCTATAATGAGGCAAATCCTAAATGAAGTGGTTTGCTAATTGCAGTTTATGTTTTTCATCTCAACAGTGAAAACAATGGTGGCTTTGTCTACAGATGTAAAAACTTAGCACATCAGTACTCTTTTCTGAAATACTCTTTATTACCCTCGAGGAAGAGCTGATCCCTTCTCTTGAAAGTTTCTGTCAGTTTAATTAGCCTGAATAGATTTCTGCTCTGCAGGAAACATAGTTGAGCTATCACTATAGTCTTCATTTTAGTATAAAAGTTGAACTTCATTTCCTGACACTTTTTATAACAAGTTGTTTAGTTTAAGGTCTGGGAACTGTAGCAGTTAAAGTATCTTAAATGTTTACTGTGATTTTCTAATTCATTAAAACTTTGCAAAATTCTCCTTTTCCAGGGCTGCACACAGAAGTATATTGTGAAGAACTACTTCTACTACTACTTGTTCAGGTTTTCAGCTGCTTTGGGTGAAGAGATTTTTTATATCACTTTCCTTCCATTTACCTACTGGAATATTGATCACTCCGTATCTAGAAGAATGATAATTGTTTGGTCTGTAAGTATTTCTATGATTAATTTAAATGTTGATTCTGTATCTACAGCAAATGAATATTTAAGAATAACCCTTTGAACAAACAAAATCCCTTCAAACAAAAGAAGCACTGACACTATTTATACATAACTCGTGTGTTCAGGGATCAGAGGCATTGTGATGCTGAAAGAGGAGCTGGCAGGCATTAGTTGACATGGGGTGTCTGCTCATCTCTGCCACATCTTGGACTGACTTATTTTTTTCCAGCCCAATCACAGATTCAGCTGCTGATAGGATTTACATAGAACAGTTGGGGAAAACACTTCCTTCCCAATGTGTCATAGTATTTTAATGATAATTTTTCATAACTTTGGGAAATCTTTCTCTTATTCTAATTTCTTCTGCATAACTTATTGCATAGTTCTTGCTTGACTGAAATTACTATAAACCTGATAGTAAGGGGATGTGCAGACTGCAGCAGGATAAGCAGTAATTTGAGGGGGGGGAATCAGATTATCTGTTGAAGACTAAGACTTAAAAGCATTGATTTCTTTGTTAATACGAGAGCATTCTCAAATTAACTGGTTTCTGCATTGCTTCAGCCTTCACAAGTGTGGTTTGTGGGTATCCAGAAAAATGTATTTCCATTCTGGCACTGAAAAAATAGTAGATAACCAGGCACTTCAGGCAGAGATTGGCTCTTTTGTCACTGACATTGCTCATCCTGGTATTGATCAGATCTTTGCTGCCCAAATATGACCATTTTAGAACAAGGAAGGGAGGTAAGTGAGCACCTCTGGCAGATGGCAGGACCATGGAGGTTTAGCTGTCAATTGATCTAAGAAATTGAAGTTTGGTAAAAACTTGGGTTTGATAGCTAGCTTTTTTTCTTTACAGTGAAGCTTCTCTGTGATTTGGTCAATTCTGTTTAATAATATTCTGTCTTTTGACCAAATAATATGATAAGAAATAATAAAAACTATTTGAATTCTTAATACACTTCAAATACACACGGTCTTGGAGAGAAGGCATCAATTGCTCTGTGCCAATAACCCTAGTCAATACATTTTATAAAGAGGACATGAAAAATAACTTGCAAGTGAAATGTAGAAGTAGGTGGACACTGTATAATTAGAGCTGGGTTTTGGCCAGGAGTACACCTACTGCTTCTGGAAACATGCCACAGAAGATGAAAATTGGTAGTCACTGCCTTCTGGGTTTGCATATTGCTCAGAAAATGACTCTTTAGAGCTCCTCACATGCAGACTTGCCTTGTCTTTTTCTTTCAAGGAGCTCTTCTGAGTACTGGCCAGATCTAGTCTGGTTTAAGACCTCGTCACAGTCTATAACTTCCTCGTGAGGGGAAGAGGAAGGGCAGGCACTGATCTCTTCTCTGTGGTGACCAGTGACAGGACCTGTGGGAATGGTCTGAAGTTGTGTCAGGGGAGGTTTAGGTTGGATATTAGAAAGAGGTTCTTCACCCAGATGGTGGTTGGGCATTGAACAGGCTCCCCAGGTCAGTGGTCACAGCACCAAGCCTGACAGAGTTCAAGTGTTTGGATGATACCCTGAGGCACATGGTGTGATTCTTGGGGATGGTCCTGTGCAGGGCCAGGAGTTGGACTTGATGATCCTTGCGGATCCCTTCCAAATCAGCATATTCTGTGATTCTGTAATTAGAGTATTCAAGCATGTGATATTATGATTATTAATATTATTTTTCCAGTTACTGAGGGAGTTGTGGATTTGCACTTTATAATGAAAAGGGGAAGTTGTTTTAAATATATGGGCTTATGACAATCTGTATTTTTAAAACGTTGATTATGTGTAATTGTGAAATGACTAAAGATGTCTGTGCAGGCCATGTGTTAATATTATGGCAAACTCAGCTGGGTGGGTTTCTTGCTGGCGAGAAGGCTGTGAGCAGGAACTGGTATTAACAGTGCTGTAAGTGGTGCTGGTCTGTCTTACAGAATCATAAAATGGCTTGGGTTGGAAGGGACCTTAAGGATCATCTACTTCCATCCTCCCTGCCATGGGCAGGGACACCTTCCACTAGACCAGGTTGCTCAAAGCCCCATCCAGCCTGGTCTTAGTCATGTATGTGACAGCACAATTGGTTTAGCTGCATGGGAAATGCCAAGGAGTCAGTGGGACAAAGCCATGGTGTTAGCTAACTGGGAGGTTTTTGGTTGATAGCAGTGGAAGGACACCTGTCTGGTGACACAGTGGTGAGCAGAAGTGCAATCCAGAGTTTTGAAGAAATGCTTCTGAATGGATGATGATGATGTGGGGCTAAGAGCTGTGTTAGATAAAAGTAAAAATCCAGGTAACCTGATATCTCTGGCAACAGCTGCCAGTTGAAGTCTGGGAAAAGTATGAAGGGGCAAGTGCAGCACCCAGGCATGTTCTGCAGAAGGCTCTTACCCATCAGGGGAAAGGAGTTGGTATCAAAGGGAGAGCTTTAAGAGGAAGGTAGTAGTAGTTCCCTTTAAAAGAGATGTTCAGGATGAGGAGGGGCTGTTAGTGAAACTCTTCAGCAGGGAGTGGACCAGTGAGAGTTCCCAGTGAGAGCTGGGTACACTGGGAACATCGTAGGCAGGGATGGTGGTGACAAAGAGGGTGAGATCATCGGCCAGGAGAAGTGGGGCTGCCTGTGAGCACTGGAGAAACAGAAGGGTGCTGAGGGTGGTACTTTGGTTTGTGCTGTTTCCAACTTAAACCTGTGAGTTTCTGCTGCAAGTTGGAAATAATGTCAGTTTGCCAGGATGAATCAGGGGAGTTTCTTCCCTTAGAAATCAAAGCAGCACTAATGCTGTTTACAAAGCTTTCCTGCCATCTTATCTGTAATATTTTATGCAGAGCCAGTCACCCCCATTTGAGAAAGATGATTTCAAACTGGAGCAGGGCCAGGGATGATTAAAGAACAGACTATTTTCTGAGCAGACTGAAAACTTAGATAAGTCCCTAACAAAATGAAGTTGGAGAGAGAATGGGGCTGGCTGCAAACCGCACAGGAAAGGAGCTTTTTAAATAAAAGTACAATCACAAGAAGAAACATGCATAAGGCAGTTCCAATGGTGTCTTTTCTCTGAGGATTCACAGTATATATGCAGGCTTTACCTTTCTGGATAGATGGAGGAAATAACTGAAACTTCTGAGCAAGATGCTGGGTCAGTGCTGAAGGTACTCTGGTGTCTTTGCTTCTCTTCTCCAGAAATTTGAAGTAAAAGCTCTTGAACCTGCACAGACAAAGTTTTGAAGCCTGTGACTGTCGTGACTTCAACCAGGAAGTACAGAGATGAAAAATAGCTTCACACAAACCAGGCCTCAAATGTACTTTAAATTCACTGCACATCTCAGGTCAAGAGGCGAAAGCTCACTTTGGTTTTGTATGTTTGTTTGTTTGTTTTTTATTTTCTGCACTTCTCAGGTCTGAAAGCTTTATTTTGGTGTGCAATTTCAGACGTAGAGACCTGGGGAAAAAATTAGTTACAGTTTCAGTTTGTTATTCAGCATGCCTGGAAATCTTTTTTTCTCTCTCTTTTTTTTTTTTTTTTCTCTCTGAGGGTATCCACACTTCTTTATAGCCTATAAAACTTTAATTTATGCAATATAAATAAGAGCTGGCCAGCATGGACTTTGTTGGGGCAGGTGTGGAAGCTGTTGGCATGTGACAGTGATAAGCTGCTGACTCAGGGGTAGGTGTCAGCTCTGAAGGAAGGCAGGGTTTGGGTGCCTGGTGATGCCAGGCAGGAGTTTGCCAGGCTGTGTGTGCCACTCTGGGCTCCTTGAGCAGCACTGGGTGTAGACATTTTCAGCAAGTCTGAGAAAGTCCTGGGTCTGAGTCCATGGCAATTTAGCATCTTGCTTTTCAGAGGAACAGCTTTGTACAGACTGTCAGCACATAGTTAGGAATGATGAGCTCTGAACTCCATCTCTCAGGGTAACCAGGAGTTTCCTAACCAGCAGGAGTTTACCTGCAATTGGGGTGCCACTGACATTATTGTGAGGTGCTTGAATCCTTGGACACTGCTTTGAAAACACACTTTGAAGCAAACTTTGGGTTTAACAATTCTTATGTGTTTGTTAGTTTTACTGCTTTTGTACATTTCACCAAAACAAGCCTGGAACAGCTGATAAACATAGTCACTCAAAAGTGGAGCTCTTGAAAGCATCATATATTACACTGCACAAGATCATGTAAAACTGTATTCGGGCACATAAATAACTACATAATGTCAGAATGCAAAAATAAATGGTCCCTAAAAGAAAATGCCATGTGGAAGTTGATAAAGTGTTGATTGAAATGGAATTTTGTAAGAGCTGGTAGATGTACTCCACCCCTGAAGAAAGAGTGCCAGTGAGGCTTTCACAACTGAGACCAGCTGTGAATCATTTAAGGTGAAGTTTAAATTGGCAGCCTTTTGTATTTCACTAGATCTACTAGGTATAACCATTTCCCAATTTTAGGTGTTAGATGACAAACCAGATCAATTTGACAGTACTTTTCCTGCTGCCAGGAGATTGGCCCCAAATTTCCTTCTTTGAGCTCCTTATGAGATAGTCAACCCCCTTATAGTTTTTGTCCAAAGGCTTCTTTTAAAGACAGAGTGAATGTGCTAGGGTGTTAGTTGGTTGTACTTCTGGAAGCACGAGATCTTGTTCTGGTTTTGTGTTTCTGAAGCCTGAATTGAGACAAAGTCCTCCCTCCTTATATACATACATACATATATATATATATATATATATATATATATAATATATATATATATATATACACACACACATGTATATATATAACTTTTTCTAGGAAGCTGTCTATGCTGTCTCTCCTCTCTCCCTGTCTCCTGCTGACCCTTGCCATGATGTGTGTGCTGTGAAGCTTGTGGTGGGCTTGAGACCTGCCTCCTAGATTTGCTGCTCCCATTGTGGAGCTGGAACAACCCGAGTGTCTGAGCATCCCACCAGCTCAGTGTGACCTTGAATGTCCCATCAAACCTGACTAAACCCTTGAAAAACGT